CAGGGGTCCAATGTTGCTCTTGCTTTTCCTCCAGCTCCCCACATATCTAAAAACTTTTACCTTTTTTTTTTGCGACAGAATCTAAATACTTTATTAATTATCATTTATGCTGGGGTGTCAAACATAGCCCAGAGGCCAGATCCAGTCTGTGCAGCCCCTTTATCCAGCTCACTGGGTTACCAGCAGGATTCTGAAAGTTAGGCGGCATTTTGTCTCACAGAATGTGGGACCCTTTGGCCCTGCTGGTCATGGCTGTTGGTGGTGAGCCTCAGTTGCTGCTGTAGCTGGCCCTGACCCCTGCTGTGCTCTTGGATCCCCACTGCTGCTGGACCCCTGCTCCAGGTCCCTCACCATCTCTGGATCAGCTACTGCTCCTACTGGACCCCTCACCATTGGATCTGCCACCACTGCTTCTGCAGTCACCACCACTGTACAGGTCACAGTGGTTGCCCCCATACCCAGGGCTGGATCTGGCCAACAAAGAGCTCCAGTCTGTATCTGGCCCAGAGCCCCAAGTGAATTTGACACCTCTGCTCTACATTAAACAGATATAGCAATACTATATCAGTCTCCATGTAGTCACTTACAAGGTAGTGAATCTAAAATGTTCTACTGTTGCCCTTGGCAGACAACTGTTGTGCTTTTTGCACTGACCTATACATTTTCTTCATTTCCCCCAATTTAGTGTTTCCTCCAAGGTTTTCCTCAAACCAACTGTCATTTGTGTAACAAGCAGTAAGACTGATTACCTAAAGGGGGAGTGTCTCATGAGAAGCACAGCTGGGCAGCAGCATGGGAAGCCTGCCCCTCTAGAGACAATGTGCTGTGAAAATGGAATGCTTGTCCCAAGGAAGGTACCAGTGTCGGCAGATGAAGCCTGTCTGGAGGGACCCATTCTGGGAGAGAAAAAAGGAACAGGGGCCATTGTGGAGGCCTCCAGAAGAAATCCCTGTTGGGGATTGGCTAGGGAAGTCATGGATAACAGGGTTTTCCCCCTCCCCCCTGGGGGAAGAGAGAGAAATGGCCCACACTGCAGGCTGAAGGCTGGAGGAAGCCTGTCTGCAGGGGTTCTTCCCTGAAGCCTGCAGAGCCACTGAGGGAGTTGCTGCAGGCTCAGGGAGATGTCTGAGCCCAGGAATCTTCCCCCCCCCAAAACGTACAGGAGAGCTGTGCTGTGGCTTAGCAGGGAAGGATCATACAAGCCTTGCATGGGTGGAGTGTGCATGGAGCAGGAGGGACCGGAGGGAGACAGGCCTGGTCCAACTGTGTGCGGGGTTGAAGATGGTGGGACACAGGGAGCCAGAAAAGTCACCTGGTTCGTGGTGGGGAAAGGGGGGTTTAGGGGACACTTACCCCTACTTACCTGGGATGAGGCACCCTGTAGAAAGCCAGGACAAGGTGGTGACAAAACCCTCTCCTGATTGCCTGGTGGGGTTTGTATGTACTGGCCAGGGGGACTGCCTGAGCCAGCAACCCAGACCCTGTGGCCAGCTGCGTCAGGGAACAGAGATCAGGGGTGAGAAGTGTACTGCAGATGCCAGGAGGGAGTGATGGCTGGCAGCGTGTGACACCTGAAGTAAGCATAAAGGGATCCAAACCAAGGAGGATCTGCCCATGCTCCAGTGAGAGGGGCAAAGAAGTAGCTATTCTTCTCACAGCATCATCCCAGGCTGTTAAGTGTGCAGAGAGCCATCATATTCATCCTGGTGTATAAAAGTTATTGATTGGTTGTGTACATAAGTACAGGCAAACCTATAAGCCTGTAACTCAGTTGGTTCAGTGTTGGTGCCTTAATATCTATCTGTGATTACTACTCTCCTTGTAGGTTATGGGTATTCAAAGAAAAGGTTATATGTTGTGACCATCATTACCAGGGTTGTGGGTGTGTATTGTATGTTCTCTTTAATAGCCCTTATGAGTTAAACCTGTTTGATTATTTGTAATTTATACTGTATATAGTTAATCCTGTATATAGTTAACCCTGTTTGCAAGGTTCATCCTCTGTACAGGGGGACCCTCTTCTTGAGGAACGTGCTGCAGCTACAAGAAGGGTTAGGCAAGGTCACTGGCTACCAGGCACCCCAGGATCCCACTATTTGGTGGTGGCCATGGGTAGCACCGTGTGCCTAGGTTACATTTGCATTGTGAGACTAAAAGCAAAACTCTTTCAGTTTCCTTTACATTGTGCTTGAACTTCAGATTATTTGATGTCATGCTCACATAATGTTATTACAGCTTCCTGGTATCTTTAATAGCTGGTTCTAATGATACAGAAATGTCTACTGATTTGACAATAAGATAACAGTCTCAGTCAATGGCTATTTTGTTATTGTTTCATTTTGTATATCATACACTATCCAGTCCCTTAGTGCATCAACAACACTCTCTTTGGACTATTAGTGCTCTCAATTTTCTTAATTCAGGTACATGCTCTGAAAATAGTATATAGCCTGCACCTCCCTCTCCCAAAACCAGCTGGGGAAAATTGGGGTGTGTGCTATATGTGAGGAAAAGGGCTCCTCTTGTATCTGGAAATTTGGCAGAGGGTAATGGGCAGGGGGAAGGGAGGAGAGTGTGCAAAGTGGTGGCAACATTAACTGCTGTGGCAGAGTGGTGGCAGTATTAATTGCTGTGGTATTGGGTCTGACCCAACACATGGCTCTAGAGCTGGGGCGCGGTCTTCCTTTTGGACTCAGCACACAGCCCTGGAGCCAATGTATAGAGTCGGATTTGCCACGCAGCCCTGGAGTTGATGTGCCAGATTAGGCCTCCGTGTCAGATTGGGTCACTTCCCACATGTGGCCCCCAACTCCTGGCCCCCAGCCCTGCCATATAGCCCCATTGACAGCATGCTGGATCATGTCCCATCATGGGGCCCCAGCATCAGCATGCCAGATGGGGCCCCAACACATGACTGCTGGCCCCCCAGCCCCACAACATGGCCCCCACCTACTGGTCCCCAGGTCCTGCACATGGTCCACAGTCCTGGAAGCCCCAGACCTTTGGAACTTACCTGTACACCAATGTTATTTTTATTCCTTTTTGGGGCCTTCCAAAAATAGGGTGCATGTTATATGTGGATGTGTTATATGGGAAAGGCAAAACAATTCTGTTTCTTATTCCATTTATAAAAGCAAACAGGTCCCATACTCACCAATTGCTTTAGAAAGAGTTGATTTTTGTAAAATTGCCACAAACTCAGCAAATGTTTCGTCTATAGGCTTAACAGGAGCTGCTAGCCAATAGTGATCAGCACCAGAGAAAAGCCTGTACGTACTTATTCAGTCTTTCTTCAGAACAGGTTTTGCATCACACAAAGCATCATGTCATATAAGGTAACATTCTTTTCTTACCTGCATTTCTAAATGTGCAGATTTGGTCACTAAATGTCAAGAAAGCCTAGCCACCTAGGCCTGTGCATGTGGATGACTGTGCATGCCCAAACTAGGCCTATGTACTGGCAACAAGATGAAAGAGACCATCTCTTTCCTCCAAGGGAGTTCAGTGGCACTCACCTAGGGAGGTGAAGGTCCTGAGTGCTGGGACCTTTTCCTGGAGGGGGTTGAACCTGGAGCCCTATGATTTCCCATCATAGCACTCCAGACACCATACCACAGGCCAGCTATTATTTAGATTGTTCTCTGGTGTTCCTTTTGAAGTTGGCTCCTTGGGCAGCCACAGGAGAAAGACATGAGGGAGATCATTGAGGGCAAGACGAGTAGAGCAAGTGAGAGTGTGTGCCTGTTGCTTTGAAAGGAGTGGAAAGCTCCTCAGTTCTAGCTGGGCTTCTGCTCCCAGTAAGGCAGAAGATTCTCTCTGTATTGCCTCTCCATACACATTTTCCAAAGACTGTATTACTGGCTTTGCTTCAAGGAGCATAAGTGACAGCTGACCTGTGATGTGGTGTTAGCATGCTGTACTAGGAGGTCAAAGACACATAAACCTGTTCCCTACTACCACCAGGTGAGGGGAGCCAAAAATCCAGCACTTGCAGCTTTCCAGGTGAGTGCATTAACTATTGAACTATGAGGGGAGGTACGTGCACACGTACACTCCTCTGCTGTTCCCGAGCCTAAAACTAATACATAGAGGCTTTGGCCAACTCTATTTCCGGGCATCTAAGAACAATATGCATCCACAAGGGGCATGCATACAGGCTCTTGCTACTACTATACATGCTCATTCTGTGTAACTACGTAGTCTTGCACTTTTGTTCGCATGCTCAGGGCTATGTGCTCAGGGAAAAGAATGCCAGTATGTGCATAAGTGGTATTTTTGACAGTTTAATGATGAAAAGTGCCATCCAGCTGACCAAATCTGAATGCTTAGATGAACAAGAAGGAAATAGACCACTGCCCTTACTGACCAATTAGAAGAAGAACAAATATTGAATAACTGCTCTTTTGTGGAGCACTGTTCACCCTAGCTGAGAGAGGTGTCCTGGGGATAAGAGTAGTTAGTATGTGATTGCATAATTAATGACAATTGTCATACTGAAAATGCACATTTAGCCATAACTCTGGCTTTGCAAGTTTAATGCTCTCCTAACATAGTTTGTGTGTATTATATATATTACACCAATGTACGAGTAGCAGACACATGACACAAAACCCTAAACTGAGAAAACTTAATCCAGCCTGTTGGAGATTTGCCCCTGAAGGAATCAGCAGTAAAAACCTACCAGTGTAAGTTGCATCAATTTAGGTTTCATCTCTCTGTGTCCATTCAAACAAGCTATACCTGCTCCCTCACTACCTGGAAAGGTAATAGCGCCTGTTACCTTTGGGCAGTTGCACATCTGTCCATTCCTGACCCCTAAGTGGTTTATATCAATAAATAACAGTCTTTCAGCATAGATGGGCCATAAAGGGATCCTACCCAATTCCTATGTATGACATATTAACGATGGAAGAGTAAAAGACACAACAGGAAATGGGGCAGAGGCAGGAAAGGGCAAGGGAAAAGAGACAGTGTGGTAGTGGTGTAAGGTCCAAACTCACGTTTTGATAACTTGCCCCAAGTCATATCTGTCAGTCACCTCAGATGGCTGGTTGTAATCTTTCTTGTCCCCTAGGGTTACACAACCAAACGGCATTGCCAGGCCCGATGCTGGAAGGCAAAGAAGCTGGATTAGTGTCTGAGGCAGTGATGGCTGGGGCTGGCAAGGCAGCTACACAGATTACTTTACATCCTTCTTCGGAACACAGAGAAAAAAAATACAGGGATTAGAGCCCTACCCTCTGCTCTGACCCCCATCCCTTGCTTTCTGTCTGGCATCCACAGGTCCCTCTGTGAGGGACACCTGAAGAGCTGATGAGCTTGGCATCCTGTCTCTTAACAGTGGCCAGCACTAGAGGAATAGGTAAGAACTGAGGCACAGCAGATATGTAGCAATTTGTCTATATCATCAACTCTTACCTTTGTTCCTAACAATCGGAGTGGCTTAAACCCAGTCCAATATACTTTTTGCTATCATCAGTCAGGCTTATAAATCTGGCTAGTCTTATCTGTCTCACTGTACCTTGCCACGTTCTTGGCCAAGTTATTTGGCAGCAAGTTCCATAGCTTAATCATTCCTGAATGAAACAATACTTCCTCACACCTGAATTCCTTACCTTTCTGTTTCATTAACTTTTTATTGTTATTATGTTCTGAGTTGAAAGGAGTAGACACTCCTAGTCGCTCTTTAAGTCAGTTGTTATTTTATAGATTTGTGTCTGCCTCCCCTCATTCATCTCCTCTCAGACAAAGGTTCCAGTTCTTTAATCTTTCATCACAGAAAAGTTCCTTTGTCACTCTTTTCAACCACCCCGAGACCCCCATCAGTTCCTTCCCCTTGGAGATGGAGCAGGCAGCCCTGCACACAAGATCCAGATAAGGCTGCACTCTGGATCTATATACAAGCATTACAATAGTCACCATGATGTTTTCCCATTTGTCAAGTTCCCTAATTAGCTGTTTGACCACAGCTGCACTCCACTGAGCTGTGCACACTGACACCCAGGTCCCTTTCTTGAACTGATAGTGAATTTAAAACTCTTTAAGGTGTGCAAATAGTTTAAATTTTCTCCTTCAATGCATGCTACTCTGCCCTTATTGACACTAAACTTCTCTTACAGTCATGGGCAACTGGTGCTGCCTTAGTCAGGGGGCGGGGGGTGCATGTCCCCCCCGCAGCAACCAGTCAGCAACTGGGGGCAGGGTAACCCTGCGGCCAATCCCACCGACTGATCTTGAGATGGCCAATTGCTGCTGCCGCTTCCAGAAGTGCAACAGTGTTCCACTCCCCGGCCGGCACTTGTAGCGGGGGCACCAGCGTTCCCACCGCCCCCCTCCAAGCATCGGCTAAGCAGCAAGTGCAGCCAATCAAGGGGTGCACTAGCGCTGTCAGGGAGTACACATGCACTTCCTTGCACCCCCTACATGTCACCACTGCTTACAGTAACATTGCCTGTCCACAATGCCTGGTTGGGTCCCTTTGAAATTCCTCAAAGCCTTTTCCAAACCTGACTAACCTAAATAACTTTTTGTCATCATCAAAGTTAGCTACCCCCTTTTCTGGAACATTAAAAAACACAGGACCCAATATAGAACTTTGAGAAACCCTGCAGTTAAAGAAAACTGAGGAAAATTGACCATTTAGTCCTATTCTGTTTCTTTTTGATTTCTTAGCTTGTTTTTGATCGTAGAAAATACTTTGCTTCTCACTCCATGAGTTCTTTAGCTTCTTTAGTAGCTGCTAGCAAAGAATGTTATCAAAGGTTTTTCTGAAATTCTAAACAAATTCCTGCCAAAGTCAGACCACTACCTCCTACAGCAGGGTTGGGCAATAATTTCGACTGGGGGGGCCACTTAACAAGTTTCGGTGAGCTGTTGAGGGCCATACACATAAAATCTTTTAGAAGATAATATTTTAACAAATTGTAGATAAAAACAAATCTTATACTAAAAATCAAATATATGCTATAAAATATTTTAATTTTATTTAAAAAAATAATTTTTGTCCTGATTTATGTTTTTTTGAATAGCATATATAGAAGCAATTGCACACTAGCTCCAAATAAAGTCTTAGTCTTGTCTATTGTGGGGGGAAGGAGTTGTGGAGGGGGTGGGGGTGGGTATGTGCATGTCGGGGTGGGTATGGGCTTCCTGTGTGCTAGGTCCTGGGAGGCAGCCAGGGATGCAGGAAGGTAATGGGGCACATGCAGTAGACCTCACCCTGGTGGTACAATGCAGGTGCACTCTGTGCTCCCTTCAGCTGCTGGCCCCGGCCCCAGGCTGCATGCACAGCTTCCCAGCAGGGCTGCTTCTGGCTCAACTCCTCAGTTCCCCCCACCTCTGGCAGCTACTCCTCCTCCTGCCCCACTCCAGGTGAGGGGGTGGGGGGAGGAAGCTGCAACCTGATGACTCCTCCCACAGTGCACCATCTCCAACTCCAGCTCCCAGCCACCTTCCACACACTCTGCCTGCTGGGTGTGATGAGCAGCCACTTGCAGGTGGCTGAGTGGGTGGAAAGCAGCCAGGAGCTGGAGCTAAAGCCCTGTGTGCTGGGGTAGGAGCCACCTGGCTGCAGCTCCCCCACCACCCCACTTGGAGCAGTGCAGGAAGAGGAGAAACAGCCACTGGAGGTGGGGGGAGCTGAACAGCACCCAGGTAGCTGCAGTGGCACTGGGAGCAACCCTGCCAGGAAGCTGTGCACACTGGCCAGGGCCAGGCTTGGCAGGCACAGGTGGAAGTGCAGCACAGACTGCCTGGGGTGGAAGCAAGTGGGGCTCGACCCCATGTGGAGCACCATGGGGGCAGCTGTGGGCCAGATCCAATCAGTCAGAGGATGTCTGCCTGAAAGCTGGACCCAATTAGTTGACAGGCCATATTTTGCCCATCTCTGCCCTAGAGTCTCTATCCTTTGTTGTTGCTATCAGGGCTGTAGGCTGACTGAAGACTCATGGAGCCAGTTATGATGGTTACTCTATTGATGGCCTGGTTGATCTATAGAATAGCACACTGAACTTGGCTATAGAAACAGCAGCATCCAAGCATCCACTCCCACTACTGCATGAGATATGGCATCTGGAATGCAGGTGGCTCTTGATCTGTTCTGAAACTGAACAACTGTGGCATAGATCTTTCTTAAAGGACTATAGCATGGCAAGAAAATCTGGAGTGGACACCCTAAGGCAGTTAGGCAATTATTTAATCTTCTTTCTGGCAACTCCTACAACTTTTGCAGCCCCACACTGTATTGGTTCTACTTTTCCAATGGACACGTTGGCAAAGTAAAAAGGGTGATTCTGAAACTCTTGATCACTTAGAAAACACTCAGGATTTGTGCCCTGGAGAGGTCACTCCAGCTTCGCCAATGCATTGAAACAAACAGGAGTCAACAGTTACCAGTTATAATCCGTGAATAGATTGGCATAGATCCAGGCACCAGAGGCTGTCTCCAACAGTGGGAGAGGTCATTGCACCTCATTGGAAAATGACCATTTGCCTCAAGCTGGACAGTCCCCAGCCAATATGATGTTTTTCTGCCACAGTGACACTTCAGCAGGTGTTTGAAGCTTAGAGATTCAACTTGAAAGCAGTCTATTGTGCACCACCAGCTACTACAAAAAATATGAAGGAAAACCTTTTAATCCTAAAGACTGGAAGTTGGAACATAAGTACAGTGACCCCAGGTATATCCAGTGTTCTCCAAACGGTTGATGGTACACAAAACTGCAGTCATTGATGTGGAACTGCTAAGACTGAATGTTAATATGATCGCACTACAAGAGACTGGATTACAAGGCACCAGTTGCGTGAAAGAAAAGAACTACACCTTTTTAGGTGTGGCAAACATCCCGAAGAAATAGGAGAGCACGATGTTGGCTTTGCAGTCAAAAACAAACTGGTGTTTGCAATGGTACCACCAAACAAAGGCTCTGAAAGATTAATGGTACTTCGGCTCACTACTGCGACTGTGACTTCGACTCACTATTGCCTCTGGTCCCCTTACGTGCATACGCCCCTGTTCTCACCACTTCATCCAAATCAAAAGACCACTTTTATGATGAGCTTAGTGCCTTAATCAGTAATTTTTCACCTAATGAAAAAATCCTCCTGATTGGAGACTTCAATGCAAGGGTTGGCACTAAGCACACTGCCTGGCCTCATTGTTTGGGTGCCAATGGTGTCAGCAAAATGAATGAAAACGGGAAACACTTCCTCAAGCTATGCATAATAAATTCTTTCTTCAATGTGAAACCTCAACACGAGGTATCTTGATGCCACCCACGATCTGGACATTGGCAACAACTTGACCTAATTATCACCTGCTTACAAGACTTCTGTGATATTAACATCATGCAGTCCTATCAGAGTGCTGACTGTGATACTGATCATACATTGGTATTGTGGCAGAAGGCCACCTCTGTTTCTTCCCAAAAACTCTGTTCTGTGACAGTTTGGTTAAGATGGGCCCAGCAGAGGATACACACCTTACCCTATCTCTTTAGGTAACCTGAGCTGGATACATTTCTGAGGGAGGGGGGAAACCTGCTCCCTCTGCCTACATGACTGGCATCACATACCTGGGTGAGGGGCTTGGGCATCTTGGTGGGCTAGAGACTGCCAGTCTGCCCAGCAACCAGTGATGCATTTCAAATTGGTTGGCTGACAGCCAGCAGGTGCTGGCCTCCATTGGACCAGGTAAATGAGGTTATAAGGGCTATATAAGTTAAGGACTGCCCAGGAGTAAGGGGCAGCAGCCATGAGGAAAACTCAGAGAGAGAGAAGAGCTGGACCATATGAAACTTGCTCTCTCTCTCTAAACTCATGATCAAGGAACGGCCTGCCTCCCGAGGGAATCTCCACCTGCCTCTGGATGATACCTGTGAGTAAGCTACCTGAGATCTAACTAGATATACAGCTTCCAGTAACTCAGATGCGTGATCAAAAGCTACTCCAGCCACCCTGTTTGTTCTATGGTATTTCTCTGATACTATTCAACTCTGTACCCTATTCCAACCCTACTCCTTGTAACCAATAAAGTTCTCCTTTGTACCTAGCATGGGAAACTTAATGGGAGTAGGTCTAGATTATGCCTTGGGGTCCCCTTGGTTCAGCTGACTAAAGGAGACCACTACTTGTGCTTCTG